AGAACCCACACAGGGGAGAAGCCTTTCAAATGCTCAGAATGTGGGAAGAGATTCAGTCACAGTGACCACCTTCAAACCCATCGAAGAACCCACACAGGGGAGAAGCCTTTTGAATGCTCAGATTGTGGGAAGAGATTCAGTCACAGTAGCTCTCTTCAAATACATCTAAGTACCCACACAGGGAATAAGCCTTTTGAATGCTCAGAATGTGGGAAGAGATTCAGTTGCAGTGGCCACCTTCAAACCCATCTTAGAACCCACACAGGGGAGAAGCCTTTTGAATGCTCAGAGTGTGGGAAGAGATTCAGTTGCAGTAGCCACCTTCAAACCCATCGAAGAATTCACACAGGGGAGAAGCCTTTTGAATGCTCAGAGTGCGGGAAGAGATTCAGAGACAGTAGCTCTTTTCAAAGACATCTAAGAACCCACACAGGGGAGAAGCCTTTCAAATGCTCAGAATGTGGGAAGAGATTCAATCAGAGTGGCCACCATCAAACCCATCTTAGAACCCACACAGGGGAGAAGCCTTTCAAATGCTCAGAATGTGGGAAGAGATTCAATCAGAGTGGCCACTTTCAAACTCATCTAAGAACCCACACAGGGGAGAAGCCTTTCGAATGCTCAGTATGTGGGAAGAGATTCATTCAGAGTAGGTCTTTTCAAACTCATCTAAGAACCCACACAGGGGAGAAGCCTTTCAAATGCTCAGAATGTGGGAAGAGATTCAATCAGAGTGGCCACCATCAAACCCATCTTAGAACCCACACAGGGGAGAAGCCTTTCGAATGCTCAGAGTGTGGGAAGAGATTCAATCAGAGTGGCCACCATCAAACCCATCTTAGAACCCACACAGGGGAGAAGCCTTTCGAATGCTCAGAGTGTGGGAAGAGATTCAATCAGAGTGGCCACCATCAAACCCATCTTAGAACCCACACAGGGGAGAAGCCTTTCGAATGCTCAGAGTGTGGGAAGAGATTCAATCAGAGTGGCCACCATCAAACCCATCTTAGAACCCACACAGGGGAGAAGCCTTTCGAATGCTCAGAGTGTGGGAAGAGATTCAATCAGAGTGGCCACCATCAAACCCATCTTAGAACCCACACAGGGGAGAAGCCTTTCGAATGCTCAGAGTGTGGGAAGAGATTCAATCAGAGTGGCCACCATCAAACCCATCTTAGAACCCACACAGGGGAGAAGCCTTTCGAATGCTCAGAGTGTGGGAAGAGATTCAATCAGAGTGGCCACCATCAAACCCATCTTAGAACCCACACAGGGGAGAAGCCTTTCGAATGCTCAGAGTGTGGGAAGAGATTCAATCAGAGTGGCCACCATCAAACCCATCTTAGAACCCACACAGGGGAGAAGCCTTTTGAATGCTCACAGTGCGGAAAGAGATTCAGCTGCAGTGGCTACCTTCAAACCCATGTAAGAACCCACACAGGGGAGAAGCCTTTTGAATGTTGAGGGTGTGGGAAGAGACTCAGTTGCAGTGGCACTCTTCCAAATCGTCTAAGAATGGAGATTCAGTCACTCTTAATTAATCGAGATTACCCGACAACAAGAAGCACTTTATCTCCCAGGTCATGGGCAAAACTGGTCAGAGAAAAGGAAAGGCTCAAATAAATCCATCATCGCCGATAACGAATCACTTTTCAGCCAGCAATAACAATTTAAGGAAAACACTAGACAACGAGGGCTCACCTAACATGGCGAATGCAGCAACGCCGAGACAGGGAGCTGCAACGCTGCTTTCTAGGCAAGAATTTTTAGACACCATCTCGGCCCTTGAAGAAAACATCGGCAGCAAACTTCAAGCAATCTTGTTTCCAATTACTGAACAATTGAAAACTTTGAAAGAAAACATGTCTGAGGTTGCTAAAGCTGCAAACACGGCATTGGAACAATCAGAGGCCACTAATGACGACATTAGGAGTTTCCAGACATCTGAAGAGTGGACCAGAGAAAAAATAATGTTGCTGGAAAACAGACTTAAAGAACGCAATTTGAAGCTAAGAGGCATTGTTGAAAATCAAGCTGGTGAGTCTGATTTAAAATCCTTTATAAAAACTTGGTTAGCCTCTCAGTTAAAAGAAGAAGAAATGGCTGTAATCCAGATAGAAAAAGCATATAGACTGGGCCCTAAATCCAGCCATAATGAAAAATTCCCCAGAGACATTTTATTAACCTTACCAGATCTGCAAGCAAAAGAAATTATATTAAAGGCTTCTAGAACAGATTCAGGATTACAATATCAAGGAAGAAAAATCCTAATTTTACTGGATTTATCATTGGAAACATTCCAGAAAAGGAAGGACCTTAAACCCATCATAGAGAAACTTAACCAAAACAAAATACGATACAAATGGGCCCCTCCTAGTACCTTGACAGTAATTCATCGTGGTCAACGCCTGCAAGCTAAAGATTTTCCAGACCAGATTTTGCAGATTGACTTTTCCAGACCAGCTTCACCTAGATCAGACCACTCCTAAGTACAATTGTTCTTTTTCCTAATTATGGAGCGTTATTGGTACTGTCCAAAGAAAATACAATAAGTTGCTTGAGGGTAACTTAACTATACCAGGAAAGAAAAAGTGTTTTCTATTTTTTGTACACAAAGTAAAATGATATAGAAGGGTAGTCACATTATTATAATTTGTTATTTCAACATAGAGTTGGGTTAGGCTGAGCCCTCTTTTTTGCTTCCTTTATTATCATCTAGATAGTAACAGTTAAATACAGTTTTAATAGAGGTTTGGCCTCATGAGTGAGGTCTATTGGTTTCAATGTTGGTTATGTTTTTGTGTTGTGTTAAGTAAAATGGTTTAAAAATTGTCATAATAATAACTCTAATTTTTTGGTAAAGCTTTTCATTGCTGTAATCAGCAATAGAGATTTGAATATTTTTTTTGGTAATCATGATGTCTCAATGGAAAATAGTCTCTATTAATTGTAGAGGCTTGAATAGTAGAATTAAGAACAAAATATTGTTATCTGAGTTAGTTAAACTAAAACCTGATATATTAATGCTACAAGAAACTCATTTAAAAAACAAAGACCTACCTGTTTTTAAATCACGTTGGTTCTCTCAACAATATCAAGCAATAGGTTCATCAAAATCAAGGGGGGTGGGTATATTATTTTCCAGGAATGTAAGATTTGTTTGTAAAGCACAGGAAATAGATCCCAGGGGTAGATTTATTTTTTTAAAGGTTTAATAAATGACAGTCCATATACGTTAGCTTCTCTATATGCTCCTAATGAAGGACAGATTACTTTTCTTCAGAATACGTTGGCTATGTTAGACCAATTTCAAGAGGAACAAATTATATTGGGAGGTGACCTTAATTGTGTGGTGAACCCTAATATAGATAGATCTGGAAACGGAGATCCGAATAAATTCAAAGTTAAAAACAAGGAAAAAAATATCAGAACTTTTGGAATCATTTTCTTGTTACAGTCTATGTGATGTTTGAAGAACCTTTAATAATGGAGTTCATGGGTCATTCTCAAGAATAGACTATATTTTAAAATCTAATTCTTTAATTAATAAAGCAGCTAATCCTGATATAGGATTAAGAACCATATCTGATCATGCATGGGTAGAATGTTTTATTTTAAATAATAACAAAGAGAATTTCACAAGACACTGGTCATTGAACAAATTTATTTTATTAAATCCTACAGCAAATGCAGAAATAGAAGAGGAAATTAAGACTTTTTTCATTTCAATTTAGATTGTGGAGTTTCTAAAGAAATTACGTGGGATGCTCTGAAAGCCGTTATTAGAGGCAAAGCTATAGCAGAGACTTCAGCCTACAACAAAAGGAAAAAACATATTAAAACACACACTTATGGATAAAATTAAAGAATTGGAAACAAAACATAAATTATCTGGTTCAAAAAAGATATACAAACAGTTATTACAAGAACGTAAAAACTAGACTCTTTAGAAACGACACAGATTAAGAAAAATATTTTATTTATAAAGCTAAAATATTGGTTCAAGAGTTCCAGATCATTAAAAGGGTTATCATGGAAATTAAAAAAAGAAGTGGCTGAAAGACATAAATATTATAAAAGAGAGATCAGGAAACCAAGTCTCATCTTCTGAAAACATTTTAAAAATTTTCACTTAATTTTATCAAAGCCTATATAGTCTAGTAACCCAAATAAGGAATCTATAGATCATTACCTGAAATCAAATCAGTTAATCAAGGAACTTACGATAGAACATAAAAAGTTTATGGACAATATTATTACACCAGAAGAAATTATAGAGACCATAAAAACAATTAAATTAAATAAAACACCAGGGAGAGATGGGTTCCCAGGGGAATTTTATAGATCTTACGTAAAATTACTGGCACCGCACCTGGCAGATCTGTGTAATTCGGTATTGTTAACTGGACAAATGCCTCCATCGTGGTCACTTGCAAAAATAATAGTCCTCCCAAAACCAGAAAAAGATTTGACGAATGTTAAATCTTATTGTCCCATTTCTTTATTAAATAATGATTATAAAATCTTTACTTCACTCATGTCAAAAAGATTAAATCATATTATAGGGGAGTACATACATAAGAACCAAACGGGTTTTATTTCAAATAGGAACATTACAGATAACATTAGAAAAACTTTGAATATAATTTTTACAGTTCTAAATATAAAACAAATGATTGCATATTGGTTTGGATATAGAAAAAGCTTTTGATCAGGTGGAACCACTGTTTTTATATTCAAGTATTGAGTGTATTGGTTTTGGGATTAAGTTTCAAACATTGGTAAAATCTTTATATGCAGCACACAAGGCCCAAATTAGTATAAATAACTTAATTTCACAAGATTTCTTACTAACAAGGGGAACAAGACAGGGCTGTTCCCTGTCTCCCCTGTTTTTTGCCCTCTAGGTAGAGCCATTAGCAAATATCATAAGAAATTCTGAAAAGATAAAGGGCATAAAAGTGAACCAATCAGAGTATAGAATTAGTCTTTTTGTGGATGACCTGGTTTTATATATTTCAGATCCACTTCAGACTATCCCAGAGCTAGAGTCTATTTTAAAACAGTTTGGACAATATTCAGGCCTGTCTGTAAATAGGTTCAAGTCTATACTTTATCCCATAAATTTGTCACCAGACTTGACTGTGGAAATGAAAAACAAATTTGGTTATCGTTGGATTACCTCCTCATGGTCCTACCTGCGAGTGAAAATCCCTTTGAATATACATGATCTTTTTATAAAAAACTTTGTAGACACAGTACATTTTATAGAGAATATATTAAAAAGATGGAATACAGAATCACTATCTTGGCTGGAAAGGCAATATGTGGTTAAATCATTTATTTTACCTAAATATTTATATTTATTTAGAGCCTTACCTATACAAATACCTACCCAAAACCTTAAAAAATGGCAAGAACTTTTAAACAAATTTTATTGAGCCTATAAGAGACACAGGATTAGATTTGAGACGTTAAGGAGACCAAAAAAACAAGGAGGAATAGCTTTCCCAGACCTAATAGCGTATTATGAGGCCTCAATTTTGGTCAGTCTTCCAAGACTACAAACTATAGAGTTAGAGGTGGAATGGATGGTAATAGAGGAATCATATTTTAAACCAATACGTTATGCGGAAATGATCTGGTTAGATAAGAAAGAACGCCCAAAACATTTTCAAGACAATCCTTTTATTAAAGCATTATTGAATATTTGGGACAATAAGAAAAAATTATTAGCACCTGAACTCTCCCCAGCTTCTTCCTTTGTGGGTCAGCCGTGGTTTAAACTGGCTGAAGCACAAACATCCTTTAAAGTATGGAGGAAAGCCTCGATGATTAAAATATATGACATTATAAAAAAGGGTCATACTAACAAAGGAGCATTTGGAAAAGAAAATACATTCAATTATTCCGTGGTTCGAATATTTGCAAGTGCAAAACTTTTTAAATCAACCAGCTATCAAAAAACGTTTGCTCAGACCTCTTACAGATTTCAAAAAGATTTTAATTAGTAGAAATATAAACCTGAGGGGTTTGATCTCAAAAACATATATGTGTCTGTTAAATTTGACTCATCGCAACCTTCATATGTTATGGCATGGCATAAAGACTTGGGAATAGAATTAACAAAAGAACAATGGGAGTCAATTTGGTTATCTCCAGCTTTAATATCACCATCTATTAATATTGTACAACAAAATTATAAAATAATGTCACGCTGGTATTCAACACCTGTTCAAATAAATCATGTAAACAAATCTTATTCTTCGAATTGTTGGAAGTGTGGAGAGTTGGGTACATTTAAACATTGTTGGTGGGACTGTATAGTTATTAAATCATTTTGGGTAAAAGTTTTGGAACAAATAGTTAAGATAACAGGATTTAAAATTCCAAATATACCTGAATGCATTCTTTTAAATTATTGGCCTCCTAAATCCATTGACTCCTCCAAAAAAGCATTGATT